TTTGTTATAGACATGTTCTGTAATTTTGTTAGTGGCTAACCTTCCCCTCCCTTTTTTTTATTTTTATTTTTATTTTTTTACAATTCTTGCTCAAATATGAGCATCTAAAAGCTAAAAGAAGCAAAAAAACAAAAAGAAAAATATGCACCATTTCTCCCTTGATTTGTATTGAAAGTTGAGACTTTAAATTTTCAAAGTCCTAATAAAAAAGAGATACATAAAACATAAGAAATGTAATGTCTCTCTCTCTTTTTAATCTTTTGTGTTGTTTTATCCTTCAAAGTACAAACTGTCAGATCCATCCATATAAGAATGGTTTATTTAATTTTAGTTTTAAAATGTTTTTTTCCCATTATTACTTTCAAATTTTAGTGGGTTTTCCATTTTTGGGGGGAAATAAATTAATAGCTCTTATATAAGAAGTTATACTGAATTTACCAATATCCACTCTACTTTCTAAACGTTGTTGCCAAAAATATAGTTGAACTACTTTAAGAGATTAATAATCTTTTTTTTTTCTTATGCAATATCCATCACATTCTTCAAGATAGTCCAAAGGAAGTAATTATGATGGTCTCTCCATTTTATTTCCTCGCTTAATGTGCATAAATTATTATTATAATTTTTTGTCTATTCCCTTTTTGTTTGGAGATTCCCCATATCCCTCACAATCCCCTTGGTTACCGAATTTAAATCTAAATTAGTTTTCTTTTTAAACATTAAATACCTTTTTTTTTTTTTTTTTAAGCATGTTTGGATTAGTTTATGCGCACCTCGAATTCCTAAGACAGGTAAGTATCATGGAATTAAATATCTAATGCAGAGTTTGTTTTTAACTTATTTTTCTTTATATACCTATATATACCCCAATGATCTAAAAGATGCCGTATTATTTCACCATTCTCAAATACTTTATCCATTTAAACACAAGTCTTGTATGCCAGGGAGATTAGTTTCAAGTTCTCACACACTAGCTCTTCTTACTTATTATTGTTTAGTATTTTATCACATTTATATGATCTTACGTAGCATCATTATATTTTGAATGCATGTGAAAAGAGACATTATACATTTTTTTTTAAGAAAAAAAAAATGTTTTCCCATTCTACTTCCCTACATGCAGTTACAATATTTTATGTAAACTAATTTTGTTTACAAATAATAATATTATCTTAGAAATATATATTTAGTTTTTAATAAGTTATTTTAAAATAATAAAATTAGTTCTTGAACTTATTCGTACTAAAACTTAAAATATATATTTAATTTGCAGCTGTCATGTATTAAAATTAATATAAAAAAACCAATTTTCAAATTAGCTATGTTTCGGTAAATTGTATTTTATTTTGAACTTATGAATTTAAATAATATTTAATTTAAAATTATCTATATTAAACAAATTATTTTATATCCAAATTAACCCAATACAAAGTAACAGAAAGTATGTGTATAGTATTTATTTTGAACATAGTCATATTATATGACATTGTATTTCTAATTTAATCATTTTAGAATAATCTAGAGAGGATATATTTTATTTTAAATTAATCGAATCTAAATATTTTGTTATATACAATGTGAAACTTCGTTGCAATTTATTGTGAATTGTTGGATTGAATTTCAATTCTAGAATTGCGTGGTGGTCGATGAATTAGAAAAAAACAAATAAATTGGGGCTATGAAATACATAAATTAGGAAATAGCAAATTAAAAATAAAATACCAATATTATAAGATGGTTGAATAGTTAAAAAAAATGAAAGGAAACAAATTTAGGAAAGAAAAAAAAATCAGACAACCCAAGCCGCTACATATTAATGTGTCATAAACACAAGTTATCCAATCCCAAGCTTACAACACCCGATCAACCACATGCTTTTCTATCTCATGTATCAAAACGCCTTTAAATATATCTCCGATAAAGCATAACATTCTCATTAATATAGATATCGAACCCGTGCCTCCAAATACCCCCTTATATTAAAGAGGTCCGAGTGTCGTATTGAAGGTACTAAAACAATAAGAAAATAATATATAACTAGACACTAATAATTTGAAATCAAATTGGTACAATAGATTAGCCTTTTCGTTTCCCTTTAAAAATATAACATTATAAACGTGAGGTTCCAACTTTAGGATCAACCCAAACTAAATTAAACCAAATGAAATTATTTTGCAAACCAGAATAAAGTTTACGATTATTAAGTAATAATAATACACTTTTTTGCTGCATGTTAAGTACGATGAGCTACGAAATAAATGAAGCCAATGTTAACAGATTTATTGTGGGATTAATGGAGGTGAATTATTAGAACTAGACAGAAAAAAGTTAAAAAATAGTATATTCAATTGATGATTCCATAATGGGGGCACATAATTTTAATATTAAATTGTTTTTCGAAAAATTCCTTACGACAGTTGACAACTAATCGACACAGAATGATCGACTAGTCGACCGCCAGTTCAATGATACTGTATTGAACTTTATAGACCAAATATTTAAATACCCTTTTTAATTGCAGAACGTTTATTATTCTTCATTATTATTTCTAAGATAATTTAAATTTATTATATTTTATTTCCTATATAAAATTTCAATTTATTCATCAATTTGTATTCTTTATTTCCAGTAGTACGTGTAATGTTTAACAATTCCTCTATTTGACCTGCTTTTAATAATGTGAACTATTCATTGGTTTTTTTAATATGTGAATTACTATTATTATTTAGTTCAAATAATGGGTAGGGAGTTAAAACCCTTTTTTTTTCCCTTAAGTTACTAATATATTGACCATTTTTAATGGTGCACAGTTGACGGTTAATGTAAATTAATAAATGTTCATTAGACAATAGCTTCATTCATATTACCTTTGAAAAATAAGCTAATTTAATATTTTTGTTGGCTTAAAGAAATATATAACTTGAACATAGTTTTAAAAGACCTAGTTATGTTTCTATAATTGTTTTATTGTTCCAATAACATTTTAAAAAATTTAAAAGAAAAATAAAATATTGTTTCTGAAACACTTAAAGCTAAGGGGTCATTTTAGACCATTTTATTTTTGGTTATTTGTTTTTAATAAACATTTACCGTCAATTCTTTTGTCTTGTATATTTAAAATTATGGTTACGTGCAAATATAGTTAAAAATAAAAAATGGTTAATTGTAGATATAACAATTACTTATTTATTTGTAGATGAGCTAAAAAGGAAGGGGTCTAATAAAAAAAATTGATTATAAAATATATCAATCACAACGGTAAAATTGAAATAACAAAAAATTGAAATTCTTATCTTAATGATATCATTTCTTAAGATATGATAGGTCGGTAATCGGTTAGGTTGACTTTAACTTTAGGAACGCTACATTGGATCAGTTGAAGAATAAAAAACGAGTTTGGCAACCCTCATACTTTGAGTCACCATAATTGGATTCGACTTTGAAATTCCCCCATTTAGTTGAGTAGGGAATCAGATGATTACGATCTTGACAGTGTTGAAATTATTTCAACCGTCGTCACACACACACCCATATGCTCCTTTTTAACGTTAAACTTATTCCATACCAAATTATTCTACATATTAGATTTATTTTAAAATACTTTTTGAAAATCGGAAGATATTATGACTCAACAATACATTATGCCAACGAACGTTCAACTTAAAAGTCAATTTAGAAATACATTACTCTATTACTTTTGAACCCATGTCTATTTAATTCACAATTTTATTTTTTTTTTATGAAAATATTTTTCAATTTTCTTTGAGCTCAACGTACCTGAGGTAGAAATTTTAAGTTAAGCTATTCTCAAGCTTTGCTTTAATATTTCTTAAATTTTTTCATTATTCTTGTACTATAGCAAGCCCACTGTTTGTTTGTTTGTTTTTTTTTTTTATATTTTTAGTACGACAAATATGGATATGAACATTTAAATTTTAGACGTCAAAGGTAATAGTAGATACTATTGTCGGTGAACTATGTTGATGTTCACCTCAGTTATTGTTGATGAACTTAAACTAAAAATCTTATACTATGAACAGAATAATGACGACATGAGATGTTCATTAATGTGATGGAATTAATTTTACCATTTACTTGAGCTCATAATTCCAATTCAGTTAAACGAAAAACATAAAAAAATAGTTCACGGTCAAAATTGTAAAAGTAAAAAATCTTCCTTAAAAAAAAAAAAGTTCAAGTTTTGTCTAAGGTACTGGGCCAAACCAGCCGGGCTGAGCTTTTAACAGTGAAAGTTTGGTCCAGATCCAATTAAGAGAGAAGCATGGTGCTTGCTGAAAATTTTTGGGGGCGAAAATCCGTCAGAAAATTTGAAACGAGGGTGAGCAGTGAGCTCCCTCTCTAGGGTTTTGGAAGAGGGTTCACCGTTTTCCACCCCCAAAATCAAGTATCTGAACCAGTACCTCAAGTGGTTTACCACTATCACGAAGCAATTGCAGAATCACAATGGCGTTTTCGCTGTTCTCAACTCCGCAACCACAGCAGTCATTTCAACCGCAGCCTCAATCACAACCGCAACTTTTTCAGCAGAGCAGCCCATTATTCTCCCAGCAGCAGCCTCAACAATTTCAACTGCAACAGCAGCAGCAGCAGCAACAACAACAACAGCTGCAGTTAATGCAGCAGCAGCAAAAGCAGCAGCAGTTGTTCATCTTTACCAACGATAACGCTCCTGCAAGTTATGGTACCAAGTGGGCGGATCTCCATCCCGATTCGCAGAAAATTCTCCTTCAGATCGAGTATGTGGTTTTGTACTCCCTTGAAAACTTGTTACGTTGTATTGTTTTTAGCTTAATTGTACAGGTAGAAGTTCAAAAGATGTTTGGGGGGGAGGGAGAAATAATGGTATGCTCAAATAAGTCTGTTTTGTCGAAGTTTAAAAAAATTCTGTGTGTAATATTCTTGGACGTTTTATTTATTATTAACCTTTCTCTTTTATGTATCGGCATCTTCTTGTTTACATCTAGGATTTGAACGCTTTGTAATTTTCCATATTATATGGCTATTTAGATACTGTGTCGCTACAGGGAACGAATCTTGGAGTATCGGGATGAAAGTCAGAGGCTGGATCAGTGTAGTCGCCTCTATGATTCTTCAGTTTCTAGCGATGGATTTGAGCATGATGCCAGTCGAATTGTTCAGGTTACTTTTGACATTGATCAGCTTGCTTTTCATTTCCTTTCGACTTCACATTGAATAATTATAGGAAAGTTGAGCACACTGAAAATGTATATGTGGGTACTGATATGCATGTGAAAATGCATGCAGCATCGGTCTATTTTGCTCATTTATGACAACTAGAACGCCTTATGAGTAATTGACAGTTGGTATGGCTGTTTGGTGTATTAGGTTCGGATATGATATTCACAGTGATACTAAAGCTTGCTTCTTATTTATTTTCTTAACCTTTGGGTTCATATGGTTGATCTCTATTTTAGTTATCCATTTTATCTCAGAACTAAATATACAATACTTGCCTGAATAGGAAGTGAAACTTTTCCCGACTAGCAAATAGATTGGAAGTTGAATTTCTCAAAAATTGTTTTAAACTGATTTAGCCTCAACAAGTTTTGACATTAATAAGCGATATGTGAGTTGTTACTTGGAAGGAAGATGGTTATACACATATGGATGAACCCTAACAATCTTCCTCACTTCTTTTGTATGGATTTGGAAGGACTCGTACTCCAAAGAAAAAAAAACTATGGATGGGGAGATCCGTCTATCCTTTAATTTTCTGTTGGAAGAGGTGAAGGCACTTTTGTAGCTAGAGGGGGAAGGGCTTACATGACACCTGTTTACTACATGTATCTTAATGTACAATCTCAGCATCTCAGAATAATTATCTATTTTAGATTACTATAGCATCAAATTTCACATTCACCAAACCACAAGGATGCTATTTGCATTGTCCAAAGTTTGATACCTCCTTTTTGATTTCTTATACTCTAAAATTATTTGAAATATTAAGTGTGCCTTTTGCAGGAACTTGGGGGAATTAGTACCTCTACAGAACATCAAAAAGTTTTGCTTCAAGAGCTAATGACTGCTGCAAAAGGGATGCTTTGTAATACAGAAGTTGCTATTCGCTCTTTCATGATGATACGCCCAAGGTTCCTTCATCAGAGTGCAGGAGGTGCTTCAAATCCCACTGCACCATCACAGGTTCCTGGAGCACCATCACCATTAGGATCTAGTGGTCAACCAACATCTACATCAATTGTTCCAGTTTTTGACTTTTACAGTGGCCTCCCAAGAAAACCATCTCCATTTTTGGAGCAAACAGTTTCGAGATTTGAGAAGTATCTTGGTGAATGCCGACAGTGGATCGAAGAGATAGAGCAACTCCTTGTCCTAGATTCTAATCGAAGTGCTTCCAATTCTAGCTCATTGTTTCATTCGCTTCCTAAAATCATGTCAAATGTGCATGAATTCTTTGTTCATGTGGCTGCTAAGGTAGGAGAAATATTGTCCTTAATGAGCATTTATTTATAATCATTAGCGGGCTATTTCATAATGTTTGTCTATTAATTCATATATTTTCCTCTTAGGTTGTCTGATATGTCACTGATGCCGAAATACCCGGTTCTTATTATTGAAGGAATCTTGATTTCTGATAGGATTTTAATAGGTTCGTCTTTGAGGGTATAGTCACTGCTTAGTAAGTTGGTTAGAGGAGAGTGATTGCAATGTTGGTTAAGAGTGTTGGGGTTAGGGGAATATTGAGTGCTTATTCCAAATATATTACATTCCTATCATTTTCCTCCCCTTTCCCCCATTTGTAGAAACAAAAATTTGAGGTTGCTTGTTGGCATCGAGTTTGACTTAAATGATTATAGCATGCTGGGAAACAAAGTCTAGAATTGTTTAAAGTACTGGTCTTTAAGTTTGGGCAATTTCTCCCTCCTATTCTTTCAGAGAGCAAGAAAATCCTTCAACATATCTACATGTGCATGATCACAGAGGAGAGACCGTTGGATGCCACTTATGCAAATTTTTATAACTAATGGCACGTTAAAAATGATTCCTCAGGTTGAGAATATTCACCAGTACATCGAATCAATGAAAGCAGCTTATCTTGCTGATCAGCGTCGCAGAGGGGATGGAAATGATCCATTTCTTGAGGCTGATCGAAGGGAAACTGCACGCCAAGAAGCAGCAGCTAAGAGGGTACATCCAACTTTACATCTGCCTGCAAATTTACAACCATCTACTCAAGCTGCTGGATTGCTTGCAAGCTCAGGTAATCAAGGTGCATCAACAGTACCACAATCGTTTACAGTAGCTACACCAGCTTCTTCTGGGGGTGGATTGTCACTTTTTAGTACACCCTCTGCTCCATCTACTGCATCATCTTCTCTGTTCATGACACCAACCGCATCTGTTCAAACATCCTCTCTATTTAGTTCGTCTGGTGCAACAGCTCCCACAACACTTTTTGGCTCGTCATCAGCACCATTATTTAGTGCTTCTACTACTACTCCCTTTGGTAGTACTGCACCATCTTTTGGTCAATCTGCTTCTGCAGGAAGTTCCTTATTCTCAACACCCTTTGCCTCAGGTAATTTCTTGACATTTTTTTGTTAACAATATATTCTTTATGGATAGTACTCAACTTATTGCTTATTAGTAATAGTTAATCAATTGTAATCTCTCGATATCCCAATATTTATGTATTAGGGATGTTATCGAAAACTTGCTAAAAAATTATCGAATACCACAATATTTGCATAAATTATTGTAAAGGAAATGATGGTTCATGTATTATTAATTTTTTTTTTAACTCCTATCTTATCCCGATGTGATGCTATTAGCATTAACTCTGCAATGTCTTCCTTTTGCTAGTGAACGACTAATTCAACATAATATGATAGCTTTTTGTCTTTTTTTTTTTGTTTTTTGTTTTTTTTTTATTTAAAAATAGATAGTAGCTTTTAATTCTTAAAATATTGTTGGGGAAAAGAATAAATGATTTGAGATGGTTTCCCCATTTGAAGAGAAGAAATTATTACTACCAAGAACATCTCTGAGAGGTAGGACCATTTATTATTTAATGTTAATTACTACGTTCCCCAGCTCGCATTTCTGTTTTGGATCTATTTGTAATGATGACTTGTGCTGTCTTCATAGGTGCTGCGACAGGATCTGGGGCTAGCTTTGGGGCAACTTCGGTGAGTTAAAATTTTAGCATATCAGGTTTCTGTTTTTCTGGTTTATTCTTTTCTTTGGAAGATTGGAGCATTACAACTTTTAACTTGGTAACATACAAATGGTGGCTATTTGGCTCTCCCGCTTATGGATCGACGATCTAATGGGGGATTTATAGGGTAAGCTTGGCACATGAAAACAATGTAACCCATTTTATTTATTGCAGAAATCGTCAAAGCCAAAATCCCGAACTGCACGACGCTACTGAATGACCATGTAAGACTATTACAACTGATGAAGAAAATAGCAAAGGATTACAAGAAGCATCGGCATATCTCCATGGAAGGGCCAAGTTTCTCAGCCATCGACAGTCTAGATCAGATTATTCTACAGGCAGCAAAGCCTAAAGGTATCTGCGAACCTTTCTTGCAAAGTTGAAGGAAATTGGCTTGTCTTCTCAAATACTGCTCTGTCACATTGTTTTCTGAAAAAGAGAACATTCGGCTTCAGCTCACTGTTTTCTGAAAGAGGGCTGAGATCACATGAGAATTCTGTAACTCTGTAGAATACAACATAGTTAGGGTAGGATGTCTTTTTATGAAAACTCAAAGAAGAAAACTTGTTTTTTCTCGTGATGCAATCGATCTATCCTCCCTTTTGCCTTGATTTCGGCTTCTTGATTTATATTCCCAATCACCCTAATGTTGTCATCTTTAGTGGCCTGCTGTACAAAAAATTTGACTTGCAGTTTCAGGAAACAAGAATATGCCCAAGTGGGAGGGAGCCGTTATAATTCACAAAAGCTCGAGAGTTGGATGTTCTTCTTGAACTAGTGGTTGCCTCACAGCCGCTCATCAGGAACGGGCAAGTGTTGAACTTGAAACATTTTATGATGGGCATATATTTCAATGTCTCTACAGTATAATTGAAAGGGATATTCACATCTGCATGCACTGTCTGAAGGATTATGACTGAAATTGTATTCTGTAATCTGTGTACTGATTCTTCGGTGATTTTTCATCCCTTCTCACCTTTTTTTTTCTTTAAGTTGATGTCTCAGATTCTCATTCATTGAAATGTCAATTCTGCACTGAAATAGTATTTTTGTAATTTTAGTATATTTGTTGATCTTTCATCCTCTTGTTGTGACCCTTGTTTAATTGATGTCCATTTATGAGAATGCTAGATCTCCAATCATTTCATTTGATTTGATCTCGATATGGGCAAATCTTGTCCATCGACATTGCGGCTCCCCATGAAGATGATAGGCATTTTTCTTGTCTTTTCTTATCTCAAATTACTTTGATAGCATCTCTATCACGATTTCTTAACCAGATAATTCCTTTAATTTGCAATCTTATTCATATACTAATTCAGCAAGCACTCAGATTCTCAGACACAACTCTAATAAATAAAAAAGTTTTATGGTCTCACTGTCTCTATATATTTCTCTACATTTGTTTAATCAATATCTGACATGAGCTTGAACTCGTACATTTACTAGTGAGCAATGGACAATAAAATTTTGACATTTATGAAATTCATATCATATCAAAATCTACTCTTATTTCTCCCCAGAGCTACCATTAAAAAGTGATCCAGGTCACGTTGATCACCTGCTAGCATGAAACCTCAACCATCACTACCTCACATCAAAAACCTCCACACAGAAAGAGGTAAATTTTACTCAAATCATCAATCTTCCATCAAACACACTTTTGAAAATGACAAAAACATTCCACATCTATGTCATATCAAATCTCTTATTTTCAAATCCTTTTAGCAATTGAGATCACCAACCAATTACAAAACAGACCCACAAACTATTTTTCAATTTAAATCACATCTATTAGCTGAAACATAATTATTAATTAAGTTCAATATATATCCTTGGCAAAAGATAGATTCAAAAGCTACCACATGGTTTTTATTACATTATTATATTAATATGGCAAGGCAGCTCATTAAGTAGAGCAAGTGTGAGCTATCCGAAGAAGGAGGTGGAAAACTTGGAGAGGTTTTGAGAACATTGCCATGTGATCAGCCCCATCAATCTCCATCACTCTTTCAATCCCACAATTCTGAATCATCCACTTCTGGAACTGCTTTGTGATCGTTTTGTCATGGCCGCAAATTATGTAAAATTTGGTCACTGATCCGTAATTTTCCTCTGAAAATTTCTCTGCTTTGGCCAGCTCTTCTTGGAATTCCGACCCTGCTCTCACCAGATTCTTTGCTAGTGCTAGATTCTAATCCCCATAACGGAAATTATAATTAATTAACTAATCAATCTCACAAAATATGAAACAAGAAAACAGATGCATAGAGACAGATATAGTGAATGAACCTCAGGAGGACAGATTTGATAGACGTTTACGGCCATGAATTTGGGGCCAAAAAGAACTGAAGTTAAACATCCAACTGGGCTTTCATAGGAACTAAACTGGGTGTCCAGCCAAAATTCCTTGGTAGTGTTCTCCATGTGCTTGCATAAACAACACAACACAACATTAGTGTCAGGAGTACAACAAATTTGGTCTCCATATTTCTACCATAAATCTTCTTCATTCCACTTATGTGAAAAATTGTTCGCATTTTTAATTAGAAGATAAGATGTTTCTTTTTTTGTCAGTAATTTGTATTAAAGAGGAATAAACCACCCCTCAATCTAAAAATTTAAGCAGATGAATCGAGCAAATTTAATTCATATATTAGATATCTAACCACTGTTTTAGGTGAAAAGAAAAAAAGTTAAAATTTTGGTAGGTGGGATGGTAATGATAATATACCTTATCCAAGACATAGGGAGGGGCGTGGTTGGTATCAGGAGTAAAAGCAGTCAAGAAAACAGAAGCTGCAATCTTGTGAGGATACTTCTCCATGGCCACTGCCAAACTCATGCCTCCAAAGCTGTGACCAACCAATATCACCTTTTCATTTGGAGGAAGACAAGCCATGGTCTTCAGCAGAGGTTCTGAATACTCTACAAGAGAGGAACCTGCTGGATTTCCCTCTGGTCGATCCCGGCCGAGGCCATGTCGAGCACCGTTACCCGGTGGCCGGCCGCCTCCAGCAGCGGCTGGATCTTGTACCAGCACCAAGCCCCATGGCAAACTCCATGGACCAGCACAAAATGCTTCTTCAGCCCCATCTCTGCCATATTGTGATAATTTGCCTACCTCCTTCTTTTGCCTTCACCAAATTCTTGTTGAGTAATGAAGTTTTTGAGACGTGGGAATGGTTGTTGAGGATTTTATTATCAACCACAAAACTTAGTTGGCAGTCAATTTTCACTTTCTACATTATTGTCCTAAGTTTTACTGCGAGAACAAGAATTACTCTATAGGATGAGATACACTGACAAAATGTTTTGAATTGTGCAGCCGCAAGTTGCTATCAGCAAAGTTTCTTTGTCGCATTTCTCGATATATAAATTATTTGACAGAATTAGAACTATTTAGTTGGTAATTCTACACATATGTAAAGTTCCATTAATTTCATTCTAGACATTGATACCTACCATAATTCATTAAACCCAAATATGATTTTTTTATAATGATTCTTTTAATGGAAATCTATTAGAAGATTAAAATTGCAATATTTATTCAAGTTTAACGTAAAAATTATAATATTTATCAAAGTTCAAGTCTAATTTTTTTAAAATTTTTTTTAGTATAACATGTAGAGGTGGAGAATCGAAATTACAACCTCGTGGTTTGGAATATATATCAATTATCTATGTTCGCTTCGACAAGTCAAAGTATAATTTGATGAAATGAAAGTTTAAAATAAAAATTGATATACCTTATCAAGTTTAATGGTAAAACAGATATTTTTTCTATTTTAAAATTTTATAAACTAAAAAAAATGAATAGAAAAGAGAAAAAAGAAATTTTTTCTTTAGAGAGTACCAGACAAAATGAGATTTATAATTACACTTTATTCCAAATATGAACACGTGAAGAGGATAACGTGGTGGAATTGACAACAGCAAAAATTCTGTCGCCATAATTTTTTTAGTTCTAACATGTGTGAGGAGAAAATTATCCTACACTGCATATAGTAATAATGGTGAAAGCGTGTGAAAAAACTCCATAAATAAAAGAGAATAAATAATGTAGGAACGAAAAAAATAAAGAAAATTGAAAATACTTTTTATTCAAATACTTTCATCGAACTAATAACCTATTCTATGAAGAATTAAGGCAGCAAAAAAGGGGAAAAAAGTATAATGATGGGAATCTCTCATATAACTTTTTAAAAAACTCTTTGAAGCTAGAAATTTCAATATACATGCTTTTGAAGTTGGTATTAATCTAATTATCTGATTTTTTAAAAAATAATTTTAGAGAATTTTTCAGGCCTGGTAGTTTTTTTTTTCTCTTATTATTATTTTGTCTAAAATTGTAATTAGATATCAATTTGTGTCAGAGTTGTACCGTTTGTGTTGGACTTTTTGAGCGAGTGGTTGCGGTTTCACTTTGGAATAGTTAATGGGAAAAAGGTTTGATAGGATGCCATTTAATCATTTATGAGTGATGAGTTTACATTTTGCTTTGTTAGGTCAAAATATTAATCTTTTCAAATGTGGGGTCTATAACTAAAAACAATAATAAATGAGGAGAGATCTTTATTTATAATCACATGCATAAATGACCCATTTGTCAACAAGTTAATTCATGATCATTTGTAATGACTAACGAGAGAATCGTCCTTTGTAATGTATATGTTTTGGCATTTATGTTCCTACTTTCATTTTTAAAGTGATCCCAATTGGTATTTGTCTAATAACTACACTTTTCTAGATCTATCTCTTGATAATAGATGTGATAGACATTATGCTTCACAGAGAAGAAGAGGTGACATGCATAAGAGTTTGAGGAATGCTCTATGATACTTTATTCGAGAAGAAGAATTGTTAGAAATGCGATCAAATGTCTCATATTGACTAGGTGAATCTCCATTAATATGAGACATTTTGAATGAAACAAAAAGTAAAGTCATGAAAGCTTATGTTCAAAACAATGCATATCCAAATTTCATGGACTGTCGATTGAGCCACAAATGAAAAAGTACATCTCATCTAGAAAGAAAGGAAAATAATAATAACAAACAAATAAGCATAAAAGAAGGCTAGCGTGAGTTGTGGTCTCTAGGTAGGGATATCTATTTTCACTCCTGGACGGGAATATGACAATTTTTTCCCCCATTGTATAAATGGAAATGGGACAGGAACGTGTTCTTTGTCCGCATTTCTCCTCTCCTCACCCTATTATTCTATATATTAAAAAGATCGTACTCTCCCCCTACCTAACCTACCAATAAAATATGTTATCTATTCACCCCCAATATATATAGAGAAGGATCAAACGGTGTAAATAAACTTTTATCCTTATAAATTAAGCCATTAATTAAAAATGTTCTCTAAAAAAATATTTAATCTAAGAAAATTAATTTCCGCCCCAATCCATTACAAGATTTTGCGGGAAATTGGAAAAGACGGAAAATTAACGGGGGACGGGAATGGGACGGAAATGTCCTACCCGTGGGTTGGCTCCAACGGTGTAGCACGCGAGGCCCTCACAAGTCACATCATGCGCTACCCGACAAAAATTGAAATGGTCCACCCATATTTAAATGACCAAAAAATAAAACGTGAGGCTCGGACCATATTTCTAAAATCTTTTTGAGCTATTATTTACAATGTTCCGGATAAATCTAGAGAAAATTAATACATATTCTAAGATTGTATACTTTTTTTTTATTATTTTAATACAATTTTAGCTGACACATGAAGCAAAAACCCCAAGTATCAAATACATTGAAGAAGCTTAATAAGCTTGGATAGGTGAAATAATCCCTCTCCAAAGAGAGGATCAAGAACAAGTTCACAACTCTAATGAAAGTGTTATGAATAATAAAGTTGAATTTGAATTCCCACTCAGCTTTATATGTCTTATTTGTATTAATTAATTATATCAATTTGGAAACCATTATTCTTTTTGGAAATATCTTACTAGATTTTTGTACCAATGATTAGATCTTCATCATCGACCACATACACAATTTCTCCATATCATAATAATTAATAATATCTTCAGCAATCCGAAAGCCAGAACTAATCGACATAAAATATCGCTGTTGAAATTAATTTGGCTTAATTGAGAGCAATCTGAAGGAGGCAGTGGAGAAGCTCGCGAGGCTTGGAAAACATGGCCATGTGATCTGCGCCGTTGATTTCCATCACATTTTGGATCCCAGCGTTGAGAATCATCCACTGCTGGAAGTCTTTGGGGATGGCTTTGTCTTCTGTACAAACCACGTACACTTTAGGGACCGATCCGTACTTTTCCTTTGAAAAGTTCTTTGCCTTTGACAGGTCTTGTATGAACAGCGAGCTTGGCCTCAGCAGATTCAGCCCCAGTTCCAAATCCTTCGCCCATAACAATAATAATTAATATAAATGCAATGTCACAATCAAACACGAGAGAAATATGCAAAAACATAGATTTAGAAAACAAATAATGATATGTCAATTTTTCAACCATGATTATAATAGAGATAGATTCAGCTGAGATAACCTCTGGAGGGGAGAGTTGGTAGAGTTTCTTGGCCATGAAATTGGGGCCGAAGAACATTGAAGTTAAAGGCTCAGCTGCGTTTCCGTAAGGACAAAACTGAGTGTCTAGCCAAGCTTCCGCAGGACTTTGCTTGTTGTACTTGCATAACCAAAACAAAGTAAAGAAATATATTTATATTTATTTTCGAACAATACTTAGGTCTTTATCCAGTCGATAGATACCTGATCCAAGACATAGGAAGGGGAGTGATCGGTATCAGGAACAAAGGCAGTCAAGAAAACAGAAGCGGCAATCTTGTGAGGGAAGTGCTCCATGGCGACGGCCAGGTTGATGCCCCCAAGGCTGTGACCAACAAGAATCACCTTTTCATTAGGAGCTACACAGGCCAATGCCTTCAACAAAGGCTCCGAATACTCTACAATCGACTGCACCTCCTGAATCGGCCTCATGTCAATGCCCGACGCCGCCATGTCGAGCACCGTCACGCGGTGCCCTGCGGCCACCAGCAGCGGCTTGATCTTGAACCAGCACCACGCCCCATGGCAAGCCCCATGGACCAGTACAAAATGCTTCTTTTGCTCCATGTCCATATCGTATGATCATAATTTTTGCACGCTCTTCTTCTTATAAGAGCCTTGGTCGTCGTTTAAGTCTTCTCTCAATTAATGGTGATTTTGAGGGTTAAGAGAGAAGTGTAAATGCAGGGCCCCCCTTTGATGGAGATATCTATAAGGGATGGCCAATACCAATTTCAAAGCTAAATCAATTATTGTGCGTTTAATTTGTGTGGTGTCATCATTACACCCATGATCACCTAAAAAGAGAACTCAATTAATGTGGGAAAAGAGTGAATTAAAAGGGAAATATAGAGAAATTCATAATCCACAGAATTGTTAAAGATTATTTTTGTGGAAATACTTAATTGGCATAAAGTTTTTAAAATAGGAAATTGGACTAAATTACAACATAGCTAAACTGCCCTAAATGTTGGATTAAGTCCCTCCACCTTGTGCAATAAAAAAAATCATTTAATTATTTATAATTCCTTATCTTTGCTTCTTTGATTTAATGGAAAAATCTCATACGGAATAAGCAGAAAATTACTGAGAAATTTAAAGAAAAACACAAGAATTAACGTGGAAAAACTCCAAACCGCAGAAAAACCATGGCGCGCCCACGAAGGAAAATCCACTATGTGAAAAATTACTCCCGGAACTTCTTCGTAGTGGCTCCGTTCCATGCCTCATTTCATAGAGAACCTCAAAGTGGCTCTATTTCATTATATTCCATCCATATCCCAATTCCATTCATTTAATGAGTGCTCTTGGAGTAGTTGGTCTGGCCCTGAACCTACGTGAGGGAATGCTAGACGTTTGGTAATTTCTCCTCCGACCAGAAGGATGGGGTTTCTCTCGCTTTTGGCATAGCGGGCCCCCAGCGGGAGGCCCGCACGACGGGCTATTAGCTCAGTGGTAGAGCGCGCCCCTGATAATTGCGTCGTTGTGCCTGGGCTGTGAGGGCTCTCAGCCACATGGATAGTTTGACTGAGATAGATTGTTTCAAATTAAAATTAGTAATTGAATTTACTAATTGAGGTTACACAAAATCGGGGTACTAGCAAGTGCATCTTTGATGCAGTCATCGATTCTCCCGAGAGGTCACAATTACCGCGAGCAAACATATTAATGACGAGGAACACATTTTTGCTTTCTCCCCCACGTTCCACTGTGCCGAGATGTGAGGTGTAGGTGGTGATGATCACCCCGAGGACCCGCCAACGCTCATTCAAACCCTAGTCGGTCGGTCCTCCATTCATCCGACCAGAGGTGTGGATAACGAGGCCACCTTCACAACCTTCTCCCTTCTGTCCCTATGTTGTAGTAAGGTAGGGCGGTTCGCTTGAGTAGCTCAACCGCCCCTTAGCCTGGTGCATTTCTCCCCCAGATTTCTCCCCCCGCTCAGTTAACTAGAGCTGGTATACCTAACTTAAAGTATTTCAATTGGGATGATTAAAACCCAAGTCCATGAGCTCATTTTATAGTAGTTGGAACGCACTTCCTCCTTGTACTTTTTCGATGTGGGACAACTTCTAGCACATGGAGACCATCCTTGTATTCTTCTAACGTGGGACAATTTCAATTCCAATATTTTGCCAAAACCCAACATGATGTTGTGAGCACTTTTTTTCTTCGTATTTGTTTGGATTGGATCGAAGTTTGTGGAAGTTTTCAGATTCTTCGGTTTAGCTAGACTATAAAGTTTTTTGTTTTAAAATTAAGTATTTGGTGTGTCCGGAGGGAGACTATGCAACTCAAACTTCTCTCAAATTATTTAACTACATAGCATACCTAATGTACCAACTTAAAGACTAATTCTTGTAAAAGACCAAACAATAAATAATTTGCAAAAAAAAAGAACATTATAATTATTTTAAAGAAAAAGCATGTTGTGTTAAAAGAAAAGAAAAGAATTTTAAGATAAACAAATGGATAATAATAATAAAAAAAAGAGGACAGTTAACTATATACATAAATTTAATATGTATTTTTTAAGAAACCTCACAACTTTTTATTTATTTTTTTCAAATATAACATAGTGTCATTTTTCTTAATCTGTTTTATATTACATTTGAATTTGAGTTTGATTAAGATTATTATATACTATTTTAATAAAATTTCAAATTCTTTTGTAAAATTTGAAAATACACATCTATTTTATACTACATCAGTAAAATACCTCAAAAAAGAAAATTTCCTAATTTTTTTCTTCTTTTAATTATAATATGTATGTTTGTTTTCGGCATTTAGAAATGAATAAGACAACAAACCTAAATTATTGGTTGAATAGTTGCCAAACTCTTCTTAGTATAGAATTGCAAAAAGTTAAAGATTTAGATCAGAACATAGCCTCCTATAGACCACGAATGTATTATATTTCTTTTAAGAAAAAACGTGGTTTGTTCAAAGAGAACAAGAATTTTAAGTCTAATAAATGGATACTAACAAAAAAAAAGGAAATTTTATAGCATAAATTCAATACACTTTTTAAAAAAACATGACAAATTTTTCATTTATCTCGTCTTAGTCTATTTTATATTACATTTGAATTTAGAATTATACTAATTTTACAAAATTTCAAATTTTATGCTATATTTAAAAATACAGATCTATTTTATGCTATTTTATAAATGCCTAAAAAAATTTAATTTCCTCGCACATTAATTATACGTGGGTGTATGACATTTAAAATGAAAGAAGAAAACAAACCTGAATTATTGGTCAATGGTTGCCAAACTTTTCTAAATATAGCCACTTTACTTTCCAGCCCATTATCTCTCTTTCTTTCCTACTTTCTTGAAATTCAACAAAAGGTTGATGTGATAATCTCCTAATATTTTCAAATAACAAATCGTGTTTTATTTGTCTTCCTCCTTTTAGTGTTAGATTTTGGTTCAAAAACTAATAATAATATTAGTTTTATTTATGTGAAGTTCTCACTGCAACAAATTCGACTTTTAATGACGGACAATTTGTCCGTTATTAAAAGGAAACGATGACGGTCAAACGACTGTCATCTATACGAGTATCCTTGTTTCCTTTCAATGACGGACAATGACCGACATCTTTATAAGTGTCATTGTTTCTTTTTAATGGCAGACATCCTTCAATGACGATCATTGCCCGTCATCATATGTACGTCATCATATGTGCATCATAAATGTGTGCTTTTAATAACGGGCAATGCCTGTCGTTGTTTCTTTAATATTTGAATAAAAAAAATAATATTGTTGGTTACACACTAGTAAACCAACAATCCTCTTGCTCAATCTACAAAGAAATATGAAAATTGTATTTTATTTTTATATTATTATTAGCTAACTCACAAAGAACCATGGAAGAACGTAATGAATAATTGAACAATTTTCAATAATGAGTAATGAATAATTGAGCAGTTTTCAATAACGAATATGAGCAAATTGCACAACTACATAGACCAAAATGTAGCAATATATATGTAACACATGCTTTTTAGTTAATGAAAGCATACATCACTTGAACAAAATACCAACTAGAACTAAGGACATGAAGCTTCCATGGCTCTAAATCTATCACCCCGCTTCCATTGCTCTAAATCTATTACCTACTTGCATTAAATCCCTACATAAAGGAGATAATCATGCACCAAAGATTATGCACAAAGCTACTTTAAGAAATCAAACAGAAAAAAGAACCGCTACCTCTACAAGCTTTGCAACAACTTCATGGTTGATCTCACCATGCTTGGCAATTCCAGCAGCATGAATCTTAAGGATAGCAAGGAATATAAACATATTTTAGAAGAATAAGCAACACTAATTTGCTCAAAAAAGAAAAAGACAAACTCAAGTTCAAGTACATTTTTCATAAAGCAAAATATAAACATAAGGAATCCTAGAAGGAAGGTATTACCACTAGTAAAATTGAAATTTTTAGCTCAACACTCCCTATTTTAACCTTTTCACCTCCTTTCTTAGAATCCAATAAATTCAATAGTCCCCTAATATTTTCGTATACCAAATCGTGTCTCATTTGTCTTCCTCATTTAGGTTAAATTCTCTCTATTTTAACTTTTTCTGCTTCTCTTACCTTTAGTTTTCAGTCAATTATCTTTATTTTAACTCATTGGATTAAAATAAGGCGACTGATATTTAAAAATAATATTTGGCTCTATTTTTTTTTTTTAAATAACATTGACCTTTCGAACTTATTATTCTAACAATTGAATAAAATCAATAATTGCTTTTATTTTGCTTTAAAAAATGCTTTTATTTATGTTCAATTCTCTAATTTCCCTGAAAATATGGCACATTTTAATGAAATTAGTGATTTCTTTTTATTTATTTTTTTGTTAATGATTATGAGCTGTCCTCAACTTTCAAGAAATTAAATAAACAAAATGTTTTCTTGAGAGATGGATCCTTTCTCACAAATAATTGTGAATTTGTCACACTTCTAATACAGACAAAAAAAGTATTTTAATATAAGCCCCCATTAATAGAGAAAATTGCATTTAATGCTATCTTGAGTTGGTGCATATGCATCATGTCAAGTTGGATATTAATATTCCAAAATGTATTTGATAGCATTTATTATTTTTAAATATTCCAAAATTTCTACATTTTCATACCTTTAGTTAATTATTATTTTTTATTGATATTTTTTTAGGAATTTGATTTATATATTAACACTCTAAATCATGCAATATAGTGATATGAAATATTAGTAACATAGATATTAAATAATAATATATAACTACTAATAAATATAGATATATTTGTGGAGCTTTAGTCGAAAATACATACCTAACCCAATTTAACTAAGTTCAAATTGACAATTATTAATAAATAGTTAGGGTAGAAATGTTCTATATCTATATTTTTTCTTATTATGTATAGTAAGTTCTTTTAAATCTTTTATATCAAATAAAAACGATAGTTACATGGAATAATTTCTTTGTATGATTGAACTAGAAAAAAATAAGAAATTCATACAAATATGTTGTCTAATTGATCTAGAGATATTTTACTTGGTAAAGAAGGAACGGAAATCGCCAAAAGATAACTTCTTTGCTGGTTGAAATCTTCCGTGTCAATTTTTAAGAACAATATATATATGTATATATATATATAATAAGAAAATAATGGGAAAAACAACTAAAATTACACTAGAAAATTTGACCTGCAGGTCAGTGTGTTGCTTCTATTACATTCTTTTCTATATTTTTTTCCTTCCTTTTTGAAGGATTCCTTCACATCTTAGGTCCTTTAATTTATGTAAATTTTTTAATTTTAAATATAGTAATTTGTGTTACTCATATATGATACATAGCCTATTTTTGTTTATATTATCCAACTTTCATCATATATAATATTTTTATGTATTGTAGCAAATTTCTTAGGAAGCTCTTGTTTTAATATTTGCTGTTTTTTTTTTCTGGGGTGGGGGAGCAAAATTTTACATGATAATTCTTTTTTATATATAATCTAAATATCATGGGAGGGGAAAATTTTTAAAATCTTTATTGTTTATATATGTTTTTTCAAACTAATGGGGCAACCAGTTTTGCTCCGCTGACTTTTTCTATCATTTTCTTTTATTTTAATTATTTGGCATCTCATTTCATATTTTCTTTCGGCACTGAAAAGGAAATTAGGACAAAAACAAAACTAAAATATTTTATTAACAATATTTAAAAAAAAAGCAATCTTTGTTTGGAAAGAATAAGAGGATGAAGATGGAAAATGACATCGAGCTATATTCCTATCGACAACAATTCAAATTTAAAGAAGTTACACACCCCTCTTACATAATTTTGAGTGAATTTACATGACATAACAGATAATTAAATGATTAATAGACGTGTCATATCAATATTTCATAGTTAAGAAACTGAATTTATGACTTTGTACGCACCGCAACGCAAGCGAAAATTTAAGAAAACAATTTGACACAAATGCTCAAATTAAATTACAAAAACTAAATACATCAAGTTTCAAATTATATCTTATCCAATTAGAGGCATTTTTAAGCATATTTTTTGGCAATTTGGAGAAGGCATTGGGCTAGTTGGTGTGGCTTAGAGAACATGGGCATATGATCAGCTCCTTCAATTTCCATCACGTTTTGTTTTGGAATCCCACTGTTTTGGATCATCCATTCCTGATACTGCTTTCTGATCACCTTGTCTTCACTACAAATCACATAAAATTTGGTCACTGATCCAAATTTCTCTTCCTTAAACTTGTCTGCTCTCGACAGATCCTCCCTGAACATCGGGCTTGGTCTCACCAAAGTCTTGGCCAGCTCCAAATCCTTTTATAGTTCGTGTACAAAAATACAAAAAGCAACCGTTAATTTTAAAACATATGGTGTATGAAAGAAAGAAATTAAAAAGGAGGAAGAATTTAAGAGGACCTCAATTGGGGATAGCTGATAGAGGTAGGTGGACAAGAATTTGGGTCCAAACAGCATCGAAGTGAAAGCCTCGTTGGTGCTTCCATTGGACGAAAATTCGATGTCCAGCAGATCTTCTAGCTGGTTCTTCTCTGAGTGCTATGGGCAAACAAAATGAAAATTTGATCCATTTTATATTCTTACTCATGAATGAGAAGTAAATGTTTGATAACTAATATTTAGCCAAAAAAAAAAAAAAAGAGAGAAGAATTTGAAAACTAATGTTCAATCAACCATCCAATTTTTGTTCAATTAGTAATAGTTTCTAAAGGTCGTAGATTCAATCTCTATACATTCACTTCTTTATTAAATTTTTGACAAATAAAAGAAATTTTTTAGTACATGTGAGGTGGAGGTGGAGGACCGAACTCACAATATGTTAATTGAAAATATATATGCTCGTTAGTAACGATAAATTAAAAACCTAGATTTAATGTTAGTCAGAACAAAATAGGTGCCACGGGTATTTTTCTTAAATACTTTTGGGTGTAAAAATAGGAGTTTAATTTTTTTGAGGGTGATTTAATGTGAGCGAGTGGTTATGGTACCTTGTCTAATACATAGGATGGGGCGTGGGAGGTATCGGGGACATAGGCCGTAACGAAGACGGCGGCGGCAATGTTGTCCGCGTGGGTATCCATGGCGAGGGCCAAGTTGAGGCCGCCGAGGCTGTGGGCCACCACAATCACCTTTTCACCGGCTCCAACGGTGGCCATCGTCTCCAGCAAAGGTTGCGAGTAGTGTGAAAGCGTGCGAATTTCCTCCACTGTGTTCCGGTTGACACCGGCGGCGGCCATGTCCAGCACCGTCACACGGTGGCCGGCGGCCTCGATGAGTGGCTTGAGCTTGTACCAGGTCCAAGCCCCGTGGCAAGCTCCGTGCACTAATATGAAATGTTTCTTCTCCGCCTTCATCTGCGCGTTGGAGAAACCCATGCCCATGGGCTTGGTGATCTGTATTTTTTCTTCTTTTTTATAACTGCGTTTTGTGTAGTGGAGTGGATGGATCGTTGAGCTTGCCGTCCCCTCTCTTTGTTTATTATCTTCTTTTTTTTATTATAATATATGAGGTGTGGGAGATCGCAACTTAAAAATACTTTCTAGTCCGTCATATCTTAGTCCGTTGGACTATCCTCAAGTTGATTTGCTTATTATATTCCTTCAATACATCCATCTCAGTTTTCAAATTTACTTTCTTTTTACTTTTAACCAAGTCTGGTCAATGTTTTGCTACTTTTTACTTTTAATCAAGTCTGGTCTTAAATTTTAGGTGTGTTTGTCCCAAGGAATAATTTAGGTGGGGTTCAAGGAATATCTTTGAGATCTTAGATTCATGGAACGCAACTCCACCAAATAATAATCTCTTGAACAAAGGCCAAAGTACCATCGGACTCCTAGATAATAAAAATAAAAATTATGTGTGTCTAATAATTTCTTAGGTTTGAAAAATTATTTAATAGGTCCGGAATTTATTAATCGCAAAAGTAAAAGTGCAAGTGTAGAGACTTAAATTTGAAAATTCAGTGAGGACATATGATATTTAGGAGGTGGACTAGTTTGATAAATTAAGGGTGAAATGAGTAAACAAAAAGTAATTTTAAAATGTCATCTCCCTACTCGCTTAATTGATTTCATTTTTTCTTTTGTCAAGTTGGCCTACTTCCTTGCATCATTATCATGTAAAATTACTACTCGTTGGTTGAATTAATATGGTACATCAGTAATCAAAAGTAAGTATCGTCAGTGATGGTATTATAAGAATTAAAATCAAAAGCTTTCATGGTCTTAATCGAAACAGTTTAAAGTTTGGACTGAGAGTATTAGATACGAGCATCACATTTTATGGAATAAAAATTTGTATAATAATCTTTTTTGGTTTTCCAATTTATCTGTCAAATAGAGTCCATGATTTTCTAACACAGTCAAAATATATAGAATAATATATCATATAAATTTCTTGACAATCAAATCTAATTGGGTCGATTGTGATAGTACAATTGACACTCTTGGATATTGGAAAGTAATTTTTTTTCCCTTCTTTTTTCTCAAAAGAATGCATTCTAACTCTGCGAGAACAATTTCTCTGATTTTAGACTACAAAAAGTAAAGTGAAGCCATCCAAACTATGCATATCTGACAATCCCAAAATTGCCAAACTATAGCCAAGCATCCCAATATGGGTATCATATATTGGGATCTTCTTTTAAGCCTTTTCCAATGCAAATGAAAGTGGAATCTCTTTTTTTATTTCTCCACCCTGCGGTGTCAATCAACTCTCAAGATATGCATTTCCTTCAAAATATTATGTGCCGCAGATGTTTTGTTACAAACTTTTATGTACCTCTTTTATCGATTTTTTGTCCCACTCCATGTGGATAAAACTTGGCTCTTCACTAGTAAGGAGCAATCTCGTCTTTACCACCATTAAATATTTGATAACTAAGATAGAGAAATACAAAAGCAAAATTTTAATTTAAAAAATAATTAGTTGTCAAATATTTAATAATGGTACATAAGTCAAGTTTTATCGCTATTTTATTATACGCATGATTGTTAGGGAAATAAAATATATAAGTGAGTGGGCCCATAGTAAATTACATTCTCACCTATTCTTTTGAATTCTTCATTATTATCTTTTTTTCATTTTTTCACATCTATCATTTTTATATGAAATTTTTTTACGACACTTCACTTTTCTCTCTACTCCCTCTCTCATTTCCAGATTTTCCCCTTTACAATGATTTAATAGGAAAAAAAAACATAACAAAATGAGTGATAAAAAAAATCAAATTATAATATTGATTAGATGAGAAAGAATAATTATTTGAAAATAAAATAACAAATAAAAACAAAAGGAATACTGAATTACTTCCAATTACAAATATTTGGTAAATGAAAAGAACAGATAAATTTAGTTTGGAGGGAGAAGTAGGGAGGAAAGTAAAAATGTTGTAAAAAGTTTTAAATAAAAATGAAAGAAGATAAAAAGGTACGAGTTGAAAGTTTAAACAAAACAGGAGAGAGAAGGTAATTTGGGAGAGATTTTTTACTTGTAAAATTTGTGGGCACACTTATTTATATATTCTACTAAGACAGTAATCCTACCCATAACACATCACACATGACATAAGTATGGTCCTATTAGGAGCATGCATACACACTCATTCACCGAGCGTGTCTTATCACTTTATAATTTTAGCTTCTCTAATATAGACATAAATATGCGTCAAGTCAATATCATACATTAACAACAGATGCATCATCCACAATTGAATCACGCATATTCATCAATCCCATACACCATACAGACACTTAACCTTATGGATAATTTATCCATTTTGTAATTTGCAATCTTAAAAACATTTTAAAAATTGTTGAGAATTCTTTACTTTTGAGGTTTAATCAAAATATAAGACAAGAAATTATCAATAAATACTTTTGCATCCTGTTGCTTTCTACTTTTTCCCTAGTGGCTAGTGGGGTGGTTGGCCTTGCCACTATATTGTGCCATACATCACCATCTTGATATGAAAATTGTGCTCCAGGTTGAGGATTTTTTTTCTTTTTTCTTTTCCATAGAAAAAGGAACGTGGAATTCGAACTCATGAACTTTTAATTAGAGACATGTGTTAATTATCATTGAACTAAGCTCATGTTAGTAAGTTAAAAGTTTAAGAATAACTTTGGAGCATGTCAAATGACGAAAATAAAGATAAAACTTATAACTTTTACCGTGTCACATGCCTGTTCAATAAAAAAAATAGTGATGTTGATTTTT